GCGACACTTACCAAGTGTCTTGTCAAAGCTTAAATAGAAGAGCTCAAAACGAGCTCATAAATGAAACTTGCTGATGAATTCAACATAGATATAGCTGATGTTGAGTTCTAGGTCAAAATAAAGATGCATATAAAGCCAAGTTCCTACCACCTTAGTAACTTTTCATGAATCGATTGTAATTCATAATTTATAGTATATGAATGTTTGTACAATGATGTACTACTTGGAGGAGAAGCTCCATGTTTGTAGAGAGAGAAGCTAACGTATTTTTGAAGTTTTGATATCCCACAATTTTTGTTCTCCTCCGATGGTGGCGGATGGACGTCGTCCTCCTTCCTCCGGCGTCAGAGACATTCATGCTCTTGGATTGTCTGCGGTCAGGATCCTTCCTCGCATCAACCATAGTGATTCTCCCCCAGCTTTTGGGTACGCAAACAGGATGTTTGATATGGAGTCTAACTTGAGGTTTAAATCTACTAAACCTCTGTTGATCAAAGAAGGTGCTCACCAATCTCCAAAGAAATAGTTGGATTGCATAGGAAAGGGAAAGAAGGTAATGTTTGATGAAGCTGGAATCAGATCCAGGGATTTCTGTATTTATGAAGAGAAAATATTTGGTAAAGAAGATGGGACTATCAAAGCTAAAGGTATTTCTGATTTGATGAAGATTCCCTCGTCTGAATCTGACAAATCGATGCCTACAAGCAATATGCTGGGTAGTAAAGGAGCTAAGTCTCAAGAAGATGGAAACAATGTTGTCGTGCAGGAGAGAAAAGCTCTGGAGAATGTTAGAGTTTGTGAATCAGCAATTCTGGGAAACTGCGGAAGTAAAGATGAATTGGAATTTGTAATCGGCCCTCATCATATAATGAGGAATGCTTGGAGTTCAAAGTCTAATGTTAAAACTATTGACTTTGATTATGGAGAGGAATTTTCTAAAAATGGGATAGTAAAGCTTCATCAGCAGAGTGAGAAGGAGAACTCGGATAGATAGAAGAATTCTCTGGTTGTCAAGGTGTTTGGTGAAAACACCCCTTACCATGTCATCAGTTTGGAGTTAAGAAGATAGTGGAATATGTATGGGAGATTTGACATGAATTTTCTAGGTGGTGGCTGGGTTATTTGTGCCTTTGAAGATCAAGACACAATGGAATCTGTATTAAAAAGTGGACACTGGTTTGTTGATGGAAGTATACTTGGTCTGGATAAATGGGCGGATTGACAGCTCCGGAGTGGATTAGGCTACCTAATCTACCACTTCAAAGCTGGGACAAAATCAATGTTTGCAGAATAGGTTCGAAAGTTCGCACTCCATTCCTAATCGATGAGAACATGTTTCAATGGGAGAGACACGCGAGTATGCCCGAGTGTGCATCAAATTAAAGTTGGATGGAAAGATACCATTAGGCATGTGGGTGGAAGGCTCTTTGGGGAAATTCTAATAGAAAGTTTGCTATGAAAAAATACCAAGCATTTGTTTCAAATGTGGAAGGTTAGGACATCTATAGAATTTTTGTAAGGAGAGCAATGAAGAGCTAGCTTGAATTCTTAACAAACCTTTACCTCTATCAGAGACAGGGGGATCCTTAGAAGCAAAGGAGTTGCCAATGAATAATCCTGTGGTGATAGAAGGCATTAAAAGTAAGGACGATGAGTATGGTCCATGGATTCACGTGGACTATGGAAAGAAGAAAGGGAGAACCTTCAAGTTCCAAAACAAACGGGTTCAGCAGACTAATGCAAAAGGAAATTTTAAGAAAGTTGGAGCTGTTAGCCAATCTGTAGTAAAAGTAAATGATCTCAGTAAGAAGATTGATTCTAGAATAGTGGATAAGCCTTCAGATGAGGCTTTAATTCCGCCTACAGCTTAGAAGGAGATTGATGAAGCAATCAGAGAGACAAGTGACTTTAAAACTGTTGATATCTTATGAAAACCCAATCAATTTGAAGTTTTAAGCAGCTTTAGAGAAGAAGGAGAAATTGTGGATAATAATAAAGAATGCCCTGTATTGGTAATCTCTTTAGAGAATTTTATTTCAGAAGGAGAAATAGAAGCATCTTCGGAGGTGGATCACTTGGAGGATCAATTCAGCCTAGAAGAAGAAGGTTCTAACAATGTTAGGAGGAAAAGAACCAAGCAATTAAAGGGTTTGGGTCCTATAAAGCTTAACCCGAGAAGTAAGAAGATGGAAGGAGATGGCAAAACCAGGATGGGGAACCTCCTTTAGCCATTAATGTCTTTTATTGGATTTTGGAATTATATAGGAGCTAGGAAGTCTAAAGCTTCTCTATATGCAAGGGAGTTCATCAGGGAGAATGGTTTGTTCTTCCTAGGTTTGGTGGAGACTAAAATTAATGTTTTGGACAAGAAGGTTGTTAGTACTTTGGTTGGTGAAGGATGGGACTACTTTCATGTTCCATCAGAAGGCCTCTCTGTAGGTATCTTGGTAATTTGGAAGCAAGATATGGCTAAATTCAGCATGCTGGGAGCTTCATCTCAATTCCTTATTGGTGATCTCAATGTCATCAATAAAGGAACATGGATAATTGCTACTATCTACGGTAGCAAGGATATTGATAGGAGAAGGAGTTTATGGGAGGGGTTGGAGCATTTTATGACTGATGATTTCCCTATGATCATAGGAGGTGAATTTAATTGTCTGCTTTCCAAGGAAGAAAAAGAAGGAGGAAGAAATTTTGTTTTTGGCTTGGGACCAAGGGAGATGAAATCATTCATTACTTGTAATAACTTGCATGAGGTGGCTTGTGTAGGTCCCAAGTATACTTGGTGCAATAACAAGAGAGGAGTTGATAGAATTCTGGAGAAGCTGGAAAGGTGTTTGGTAAATGCTACAGCCTTTAATTCTTCCCACAGGCTTTTAGTGAAACATTTGACAAGGTTGGCATCGGACCATTGTCCAATATTGTTTAAACTGTTGAACTTCATCCCTCCTAATAAGAAGGTTTTAAAGTTTGAAGAGGTTTGGTCCTCGATTCCAGCATCGATTGTTGTTGTTTATAAATCATGGAATAAAAATACTAAAGGTGATCCTTCTCAAGCTCTTAATGACAAGCTTAAGAGGACTTTAAGAGATCTTCATTTTTGGAGCAAGGCTAAGTTCAAGGCAATGAACTTACATAAAGAGGAGCTAAAATCTAAAGTGCTGAGACTATAGGAACTAGAAGTTGGAGATGGAGTTATTTCGGAAGAGGAACAGTGGATCCTGAAAGCTAAATGGAGCTGAACACTGTTATGGCTCGATTAAACACATGGTGGAAACAGAGAGCCAAGGTGAAATGGATGGTTGATGGGGATTCAAATTCTAAATTCTTTCAAGCTTATGCAAGTGCTAGAAGAAATTCCAACTTCATTCATAAAATTAAAAATGAACAAGGTGTGATGGTTAAAGATCAAAAAGAAATTGAAGAAATAATAATCCGGTATTTTGCCAATAAATGGGAGAAAAAGGAACTGTAATCTTGAGGGATGGCCTTCAACTTTGTCAGCACTTAATGAAGAAGATAGAAGAATGCTGGATAGAGAATTTACATTTGATGAGCTGGAAACGGTGATTAAATACCCGAAGAAGAACATTGCTCCTGGACAAGATGGTATGTCCTATTGTTTTTTTAAACCCTATTGGCACATCATCAATAAAGATTTATGGAATGCCTTGGATCACTTTTCAAGCTTGGTAAGATGAATAGTAGTTGGAAAATTACTAATATAGTTTTGATTCCTAAATCTAAAAATCCTTTAACTCCCTCAAATTATAGACCAATCAGCCTTTGCAATTCAGTTTATAAAATTATTGCTAAAATGTTTCTTAATAGAATCTTGTTGGTAATCCCAAAGATTATTTTGGTAGAACAGGCAGGTTTTCTTAAAGGTAGATCTCTCTAGGATCATGTTCTTGCGGCACAAGAAATTTTCCATAAGTTTAGACATTCCAAATTAGTTAAGGGATTGGTCTCTTTTAAAGTCGATATGGAGCAGGCTTATGACTCCATGGGGTGGTTTGCTTTTGTTAAGATCTTGGATTACTTTGATTTTCCTACTAAGTTTGCTAATTTGGTGGTGGAATGTATCATTGACCCGAAGTTCTCAATTATTATTAATGGATATGTTTCTAAAATGATTGAGGCTAAGAGTGGTTTCCATCAAGGATGCCCTCTTTCTCCATTTTTGTTTGTGATGTGTGCTCAACTCCTCTCAAATGCCTTCCTTCATAAATGGAATTCTATAGGTGTTGTTATTTCTTCCAATGGTCCAAAGGTATCCCATTTATTGTATGCTGATGACATCATTATTTTCTCTAATGCTCAATTGAAATCTATCAAGATTATCAAAGTAATTCTTTGGGACTTTTATGGTTGGACGGGTCAGTAGATTAATTTATAGAAATTTGGTATCCTCTTTGGAAATTCTGTGGGTATTAGAGGAGGAAGAAAATTAGCAAAGCAATGAATTGCAAGGAGGTAAAAGAGTTTAATTACTTGGGTATCAAGGTGACATTAAGAAGGTTGTCTAGAGCTGATTTTTAGTTTATTATTGACAAATCTATGAGTATGCTCGGTGTGTGGGGCAATAAACTCATCTCTCTTGCTGGAAGAATAACCTTGGTCAATTCGGTTTTATTATCTTACCCATCTTACAATTCTTCTCACTCTATGGTTCCCTAGCAAACTCTTTATGAAGTTGATAAGCTTTGCAAGAAATACATTTGGAATAAATGTGATGAGTCAGCTGGACTACACTATATTAGTTGGGAGTTATTGTGTAAACCGAGAAGATGTGGAGGTCTAGGAATCAATTCCTGCTCCAAGAAAGCTGGGCCTTTGAGGGCCAGGTTGGCATGGAGATATAATCAAGAGAAGGAAGCCCTTATGCATAAAGTCCTATTTCTGCAGTATGGTTCAATTACGAAGGAAGTTTCAGCTGTTGGGAAGAGCTCTGTTTCCTGGAAACTTATTTGTAATGGGGGTAAGTTATTGAAACCCATTATTAGATGGTCAGTTAGCAATGGAAAAGATATCAAGGTCTATGAAGACATTTTGATTTTAGATAAAAGCTTTCTACTTTGGCCAACTTTTGTTAATCCAAATGATGAAGGTAATTTAATAGTTTATTGCTTTATATGTGATGGAAGCTGGAATATGACAAAGCTAAGGAGGTTCTTTGGGGAAGAATTGATCAATTTGATCATCTCTAATAAAATACAAAATGACATGAATGGAGATCAGTTGGAATTTATTCATCAATTCTCTGGTAAAACTGTAACTTCTCTAGCTGTTGAAGCTTTGGGTTATGAAAATACAGATCTATTTTATTGGAAATGGTTTTGAAAGATGAAATTAAGCCCAGAGGTGAAGTTATTCTGGTGGAGACTGTTTAACAATGCCATTCCAACTTTCAATTTCTATGTTACAGAAGATTGCAAGGATTTGATAAGTGTCCTAGAGGGTGTGAGGAGGTTGAGTGAAAGTTCATTAGGGATGTTAAGCCCTATAGAGCTGGCCCAAGCTAACTAAGAGGGGGGAGGGGGGGTGAATTGGTATTTTAAAATTTCTTTTC